ATTATTTCTCCCCAGACACACTTGCTGACGGGGCCACATTATCAATGAGATCGGGTCTGAACCAGGCTGATGACTGTGCAGGCCTGTGAATGGAGGAGTCCATGCGGAACATCATCAGCCCACGGGAGAATGATCCTGTCTGACAAGCCGCAGAACGACAGGCCAGAAACAAATCGGGGAATAAAAACTGCTGGAAGCAAACGCTGAGTTTAACGGAACCACTACCGTGCGGGGATTATCGTTCCGAAGAGTAGGACGTCCGTCGGAGTTTGCCAACCTTAGCGACGCATCTCAAGCGCTGCCCTGCTAATAATGGTCTTGGACTTGGGACAGATCTGGCCAAACCAGCAGACGGCTGTCTTTTTATGCAGAGATAATTACTACTGTAGCTTAGAAAGTGTTGCGTCTTTCAGACACCGTTAGCTGTAATTCGATTGTTTTTCAAATAATGTAGCCTAACACAGAAAGTTAATAAAAAATACTCTAAAACGCTCCCATCCAGCTGTTTAATTAATATGAAAACAATCTTTTTACCTGTCTATGTTTCTGTAGATAACTCTATCCTGAAATGTATTGTGCAAAACGAGCAAGGAGGAGAAACAACATTTAGCCCTTAGTGGTACTTATCAATTTTGTTAGACACAGGTGCTGAAGTCTGATGCTTATGTTTAGAAAAGGATTGTGCTGTAATTCCTAAATATTGGTGTTGAGACTTGCGCCTCCAGAGGGCAGATCAGACACAGTCTGCGCAGTGGTGCCTGTTCGCTTTTTCATATCTTTCCTTACCACAGAAGCATCATTCATTCAGGGCTACTGAGGAATCTTTTGTTTGACTTGAACGGAATGAAAGCATCTGATTTTCCCCTCTGAAACACCATTGTGGAACAGGACCATTAGTTTTGGCCGAACAGTGCAATTACTTCAATGAAAGTTCTTTTTTTTTTCAAACCCAGAGATGAAACGAGGAAAAAACAGATATTTTAAAAACATACGTGAGGTTACAAACGAGAAGAAGTCATTTGACGCATTTCACCTGTTTGATAGTTACTAGCTCATTGAAGCAGCGATCCCATCCAGCTGTTTCTTGAAAGAAGCCAGAGTATTGGTTTGAACCACACGGCTGCTGTTTGGATTTTGAGATCGAGGAATAAATGCATGCAAAGTGTATCGTAACAAAAATTACGGACGGAGAGATGTTTTTCCCCCGGTGATTGTGGATGTCTGAATGCCCCACAAACTCAAACATTATTCAGGCTAACGCCCTGGAAACCTTCAATAAATGACTTAATTAACCCACTCAGCACTAAAGTAGCAATATGAACAAAACAGCTAACCCTGTAGCTGACAGTGACCATTCTTCAGCGTACAGTCACAGGCAGAATTTTACAGTGTATAGGATATGAAAGAGTCCCATGGTGTGATAGAGAAAAAGGATTAGAAGTCACAGTGGGTAGAAATGAAGATTTTAAGTCAGTGTCAAATTGAGTCCAGTCACAGAACTTCAGAGATGGCAACATTAGTCTCTGTAAAACATCCAGAAAAGCTGTACTGCCCAAGATTGTGGTAGGTCTCTGAGGACGCGTTTGGATATAACTGCAAATGAAATTATCTAATTCTCATCTGGGACCAACTCCTGTGCTCGAACTGTAGGAAATCCTCTGGCACCATTTGTGTGAAATTTAGTTTAATAAAGGTATACAGGGACATAGAGGCTGAGACTACACTCTCTGTTCGGTCTGATGGTCTCTCCTTTCTTCCGAAAAGGCATTCTAAATCTAAAGATCAAAATATTCTTTAAAATTCTCACATTTCAGAGAAACGTGCATGGAAAAATGTCAAATTTTAAACTGAACAGTACCTCACCTGTCCTCATATCGTTACTGCGCTGAAGATATTCTATAGCCGAAACTTTTTTTTTCAAGTTAATTTCTACTCGGTCCTTCAGATACCAACTCTATAATTGTCTCCGCTTTAATGCAGATAAAAAGGCATCACACGAGCAAGAAACATTTAACACCTGCTGTGGTTTCTCTTCAGAATCAGGAGTTACAGAATAACAAATCTGATATTATCTCACACTGCTCCGGATGCGATTGTGTTTTCCACCACTATATAAGTTGGCCTCTCTGAAAAGTCCGTTCCAATTTCATTTGAAGCCCAATTCACTTCGGAAGGTTTGATTACGGCATCCTTTTCTGTTGTACAATAAGACTCGACTGAACACATTAAAACACATCAAAAACACAACTGTGAAAATCTCTTCGAGACCCATACTTAATGACTTTGACAATTAAACAGAAATTATTAATAGACCTAAAAAAACAGAGTTGATTGTTGCTGGCATTGGAGGTCGTGGGTTGTTGTTGTGGATGTCTGTGTGCGCTCCGAAATAACTCGTCAAGGTCAGTGACGTAAAGTTGTTGAGTTAAAGTGATTTCTGTGCAATACTGTAGATCAGTCAGTAGCGAGTTTCTTCATGACCGTTACCCTAGTTACTGTAAGTCTTGCTGCTTAAAGATCTGATCCAGAAGCTTTTTGATTTTTTTTTTTAAATAAAAAAATTGATGACTTAGGCTCATTGGAATTTTTGAAATTCTTGCTCCCAGTAAGTTAACAGTACATTCATTATCTCCACAAACAAAAATGTGCTCAGAGGAATGCTGACACTTGACATATCGATATAGAAAAAAAACATGGGGCAGCAAACATGTCCCACAGATTTAGCTAGACTCTTCTTGAGCCGGATTTGCAAGGTGAAAAGATGGTAAAAGTTTGTTTTTTGTACACAACCGCGCTAATCAGGATATGTCTTTACCACCTCCCCTACTTTCGCACCGTAAAGTTAATAACATTGACTTGGAGCCCTGTTAGCGGCAGTGTTAAATAAAGTAATTAAAAATTCTTTCTGTAACAGAAGGCAGTAGGTGGGCTTGCCTTCTTTAAGCTCAATCAAGATGCGAGCTTCAACAAAGTAATACGGAAAATGGAGGCAGTCTGTTAAACTTGAACCTGTGAACTCCCTAAAACCTTTAAACTAATTCCCAGCACAACTGTGAAATGGCATGTCAGGCAAGTTGAAACATGTCTGCATCCACGCCAAATCTCTGTGGGACCCTCGTATTAAAGACTCTCCATTTAAACCTCCTGATATTGAAATACGATGACTGTAATGGAACAAAGTGCGAAATGTTTCCTTATTGTCGTGATGGCTTTTTATTAACCACAGCCCAGTTCGATCAACCATGTCAAACACCACCTTTCCTTTTAGCACAGCTAGGGAAGCAGAGCTGGTCAGTAACAGCACTGAGCTGCAGGAATCCCAGTTGACTCACCTTGGCTGAGAAGAGGAGTTCACATGTCATGAGATAAACGCTGTCTCTGTTTTGTCTGGCATCTAGTGGCAACAGCATAATTAGTATGACTTGAGCAGGAGCCCTTCCATTACCTCCCAGATACTGCAATTAGAGTGGAATTCAGTTTTGAAGTGTCTTCATAAAGAGTTATGGCAAATCATTGTTCATTTCCCGATGCAACATTAACATTTCTGCAGTTTACATTCTGTTTTCTGAAGACTTGCAGTAACGTGAGTAACATCAGATACATGTTGGTGGTGTTAATTTAGGTCAATGTGGCCATGTAGGTAGTCCACGGACTTGGTTATTACAGCTGTGTAGGTAATGAGCTTGAAGTTTGTTTCATTTTTCACATCTGACAATATAATAATAATAATAATAATAATAATAATAATAATACACTTTATTTTATATAGCGCCTTTAAACGTGGCTTCTCAAAGCGCTTTACAGGATGACAATAACAATAAATAAGAAGATTTCATAAGATAGGACACAATTATAATTACAACAATACAACAATAACAATAGAGGAGACCGTGGAAGATGGTATTAAGAAGAGCAGAGGGGTGAAGGATGGAACCAGTTCAGTAAAGGCTTTTCTGAAGAAGAGGGTTTTGAGTCTGGATTTGAAGGAGTTTAGAGAAGGTGACTCTCTAATATCCTTGGGCAAAGAGTTCCAGAGCTTGGGGGCATAGCAGGAGAAGGCCCTGTCGCCCATACAATGTAGACGGGCTTGGGGGACAGTATGCAATCACTTCCCGCATGTCAATCGCAAACTCAACTTCCTGCCGTCCATTTGTACAGGCGTTCCTGCTACAACATTTTTTTCATTCCAACCGTTCGCAGAGTTGACCAAAATAAAGAACGATTAAAAGACAAAACGATTCAAAGTTCTGCTGCACCAGGGCTACCAACTGTTCTGGAAATGCCACCTCCGAAGACGGAACAAAGTCTTGACCATCTATACTGATTTCATTCACATTGTTGACGCCGATGAAGAGATCGAGTTAGCCGTTTTATAAGTTATATCGAATAAGGTCGCCCTTCTTCCAACACAAATAGAGGAATGAATATCCTTGCCTGGTCAGACATGTAAAGTCCTCAAGGATTCGTTCTTCAGTTTACATTTATAAGGAGGCCTCATTAAGAAAATTATTCCTGCTTATTTGGCAGCACAGGCATCTTTAACCTAGTCAAATGCATAAAGGTCAACGAATTGCTTTTCGTTGTGGGATATTTTTCAGACTACATTCCTCCTGTCACTTTGGTTACAAGTCCTAACGCCAGATACTCAACCATTTATATCACATGACATAATTCCCTTAGTTTTCAGATTACATTTTAATCCACATGGAGGAAAAGTGCAAGGTAGCCCTTGTGTAGTAGGACTTTGAAACAGTTTCAAAGTAGTTGTCCTACCAATTAGGAACGTAAGGACATACTGTAGGAATGGTTATAAATGAGTAAAGGCCTTTTGGTCAATCCAGCCTGTCAGGTAACTCATTGATCCAGGGATGGCATCCTGCTGTTTCTTGAAAAACTGCAGGGTATCGAATTCAACAACATACTAACCAGTTGTGTAACTCTCACCTCCAAAGTCCTGATCATCAAACATACTGTATCTGCTTGATATTAGTATACAGCACGAATGAAATAAAAGACAAAGATATGTGTTCATATTAGTCTCTTTATCTTTTCATTAGTTCCAGGCTTTAGAATAATTGGGTAAGAGGAAAATCATAATAAAGCAGGAAAGTCTGGCTCACAGTGCAATAAAACGGCTGTACACAGCAATACTGAAAAAATACTAATACTTTTACAAGGAAAACTACAGAAAGAGAATCATCCTGACCTAGCAACATGTGTAGATGAGTAATATTGAATAATGATGCATGGTTTGGAAATCCAGTGATAAAAGAGCAGGAGCCCAGTGTAGTTAAAGTTAAGCTCACCTTCTTTTATTCAAGGTGGAGACAAATACTGTGAAATAGACACAAAATAGTTTTACTGAAAAGGAAAATGGAAGTACATTGCTACCACCAAGGAAAAAAAAATCATTTCCAAGAAAATAACCTCGTTATTATGAGATAATCTTCTTGTAATTATGCAACAGCTCATGAAAATGCCCTTCTGTAATTATACA